GTTAGTGTACGTACGNGGTACGGACGTAGGTACGTCGTCGTACGTACGTACGACGTACGACCGTACGTACGTACGAACGAACGACGAGTACGTCGTACGTGTACGTTCTCTCTCTCTCTCTCTCTCTCTCTCTCTCTCTCTCTCCATCTATCTATCTTTCTTCTTAATGGGCTTGTTTCAAATGTATAGTCTTTCTCCATTTTCAGCGCCTTTGGAAATACAGTTTGTGAGGAAAATTATTCATTGTGATCTGTTCAGAATATCTTTGACATCGCTGGTCTCTGTCTTTGAGACAAAGGAAGTAAACCCATGTTATATTCTGTTAATTTGATTTTTCTCCTTGAATGAATTTCTAGGACATTCCAGTCGCCATTGTGCTTTCAGGATAGATAATCAAGATATTACATGGTCTGCTAGGAAAAAAATTTAAAAACATAGAGTGATTATATTTCATAACTTTAGAAGTTTTGGTGAAAGGGGTTAGTGACTTTGGTGTTAGTATTTTTAGTTTCCAAAAAGTACTAGTTAGCATTTGTGTCAAATGTGGTTTTTCTATGTTCTTAATATTTGGAGAGAAATCTCTAAAAAAAAAAAAAATTGGAGAGAAAAAGTGGTGGGTTTTAGTTCCATATTGAAGAATAGTGTAGATTTAGATGATTTTTATATGGGGACATTCTTATGCCTTATGTTCATGGAACAAGGAGAGAGTGTGGGTGCATGTGCGTCGCACATTCATGCCCGTGTGTGTGTGCAAGGGTACTTGATAGTGTACTTTGCACTTCCTCCACTCGCATCGATGCAGAGGCGCCCTTAGCCTGTGCATGGATTTGGGTCAGGCTCGCGGCTTGCCCCATTTTTCGAGTCGCAACTAGTACTCATAACAATGTGCATGCGTGGTCACTATTGGCTGTTCTAATGGTTAATAGCCGTTGGATTGTGACTGCTGGAGACCCAATAGTCACATGCCATGAACAATAGTGATTGTTCACATGAAAAACCACTTCTAAGAGTCACTATGCACTCTATAAATAGGGCTCGAACTCCCCATTTTCTTCACACCTTTTTACTTCATTCTTCTCTCTCCCGACGAATTTCTACTCCTCTCTCTCTAAAAGCAAAAATGTGCACACACACACACACACTCACTCTATCTCTCTCTCTCTCTCTATTTCAAGCAACTCTAGTGCTCAATAGGCTTTCTTATAGCATGCAATAATAGGTGAGTATTTGTGTGACTTTTTGTTTTCGATTTCCCAAGGCGGGTTTTGTTGGTCTACCTTTTTTGCACACCCTAATTTTACTATAAGGGGGCAAAATACAGTCTTGAGAGAGCGCTTTTTAGCGTGACTGTTTACAAGAAGGTCTTCCATTTCTATTTGATTTTTCATATTATTTCCTCATCAAATAATTATGTCTTAGTCTCATATGGGTTCCACAATCATAGGAAGAATTGGTTCCATGACCGATATGGCACTCAATGGGGCAATTTCACCCACCAACTTTCCAACTATTCAAAATGTATTTTTGGGTGAAATAATGGAAGCAAGTGTGAGTTCAATCAAAGTCATGAATCAGGATTTCACAAAACTTGATCACTTTGGTGGGACTAATTTCAATAGGTAGCAACAAAAACTTATGTTCTTGTTGACCACGCTTAAGATTGCATATGTAATCACTAAATAAACGTCAGGGTTACCATCACCAAATGAAGAGGAGGACCCCGAATTAACCAAATATCGATAAAAGTTGATAGAGGATGATTATACCTAGAAGGTTCATATTCTCAACGTGCTTACCGGACCAATCTATGACATGTAATGCTCAGTGGCATCGACGAGGGAACTTTGGCATATGTTGGAGACCAAATATTTAATGGCGGATTCGGGTAACCAATGTTTTTTTATTTTCTAACTATTTGGATTTTAAGTTCACTGATAACAAGCCCATACTCAACCAAGAAAGAATATAATTTACAACTTGGAAGTAAACTCAAATCAAGTGGAATTGAGCTAGATGAAGCTTTTCAAGTGGGAGCTATTATAAACTTGATTACTTGAACTTGGTAAACTTAAAAATATTATTACTATCGTACCTGGATCATTTTTGGCCCTTTGCCTCATCGC